GGCAACACGAACCTAAAATTCTTAACTTTAATTCTAAATTAGGTAAATTCTTAATATCTTATAACCCTAAAATCCTAAAACTCCTCTAACATCTTAAAATCCTAAGTCCCTAAATTCCTAGTTACACTCTAAAAATCTACTACCGTAAAATGTTAAATTTGTTAAAATTATTTGTTGCCAGCATTTTAGTTATAATGAAAAAAAAATTTTTTTTGTCAGCATAGTTATTAAATTTGATAAATCCTACAGGAAAAATTGATAATTGACAACTAATTTAGAATTTCTCTCACTATTCAATAAAAACCTTAAATAAATTTAATTTTTTAAATTTAAATTTACCAGCGATGTTAAATAAATTATCTTAAGTTTATTAAATTTCAATTGAATTTTATATATTTTAATATTAAAATTATAATGATTGTGATATGTAAATGTATTTATTAAAACAATATTACTAATATAAATTAATAGTTAATAACATATTATCTATTAATGATAATAATTTACTTTTAACTATTAATCTTACTCCAATACTATATTAATTAATTATTTAAGTCGTTATTTAAAACATGGATTATAACTATTACTCTCTCATTCTATTAATTATATTGCCATTAATCAACCTTAAAAGTAATTAAAAAACTAAATTAATTTAAGTACATTGTAATATATTATTATACACAGTTAAATTAATAATATATGCTCATTAATCATTGATATTAATCAATTATCGCTTTAATTAAGCTAATATATTAATTTACTTTTAAATTACTATTCATTATATTCTATCCTAAATTATTTCTAACTTATACGTTATTCAATATATGTATCTATGATTTTTAGTTACCTTATGTTTCCAATTATAATCACTATTTAACTTATTTACTTAATTTATTGTAATGAATTACCATCTTATTTTGGATGATACATTGCAATAGGGCAATCATAATAATTTACGTCTTTCATTCTGGATTCTTATTTTTATAATATTTGACAAAAGACATTTAATTATTATTCAAATTATCAATACAACAAATACTATTCATTTTTCATAAAATATAAAAGTGACTAAATTATTCTCTGGAATTATAACAATTAGCCTATTGAAAAGTCACTAAATATTTACTACTCTAATCATCATTATTCAATATATATTATTATAATCAATTTTTAATTTATCAATTTACATTTATCTTAATGCAAAGCTTAAAAATTTTAATTCATCATAATAAGTTTGATTCCAATATCTTAATGTAATTTATTTTCATATAAAATTTGCAATGAGATGGTTGAAAAGACAAATGTGATAGCTTAATTTGCATACATTTAATTAAATAATAATAAATAATAATAGGGAAAAAAATATTATGTGCAAAATTCGGTAACGGCATTCGGGATGTGTCCCATATACTCATCTAATCGAGATTGTGAGATACCATTTCGCATTATATTCGAACAAAGTAGTAACTTTGCTTGGATAAATATTGAAACCACCCACAACCAAGTAGTTTCACATGTATAATTTCCCATGCAAACCACATGCCCACTGTAGTGTACCATTATGCTTTAGGTTTTTCAAGGCCATGGATATTGTCGTGTTGGCATTTAATATAGGAGTTTATAAATTATATACGTTTTATTTACACATTTAATAATATTTTAATGAATACTTTTACTTTTTGTAATTCTACTGAGGGTTAGTAAGGTGATTGCTGATCCAACATCGAATTCACGAGTCCAATATGACTTATCAGCAGTTCTAAGCTACAAGCCGAATCTATAAGAACTCAATATATGGTTATATTGAAACTCGTGCTACCATGCTCGAGTTCGAATAAATTCATTTTATGAACCTTATCTTCGTTCGTATATAATAGAAAGTCAAATCCGTTTGTACAAATCAACATTAACAAAATATGGAAGCTAACCAGGAGGCCTTCGTCTGGTAATGATCAAAATAATTCGGTCTATAATGAGCTTATTTCGTGCATGCTCCAGAGCAAGATATCCTTACGATAGAAAAAATATTTCTATCCGTATGAACTTCGGTTCACTTGTCCAAGCTCACGTACGATCAAATTATTGTCCATTATGAATATTATATGACCAGAGAGATTATCAATACGTAACAAAAATATATCATATGAATATGTCGGATCGAATCAGAGGAGATTCATCCAGAATGAATGAAATATATCATACGATATACTTAGAAATTTTAACATTTTTTCATTTGCTCATGCCGTTGGGAAAAATAAGCTGCCAGTGATTGTCCATAAGAAAATTTTCGGTACTGTACGATAGTTTAAAAATATAAATTTAAGAATCTCCCGATGTGTGTGTGCTCAGTTACTCAATTACAATCACACTCTTCTCAGACAATAAATAAAAAATAATAATTCAAATTAAATAACTATACTGATTTGATTGAAAGTCTTCAACATCAGAGTAATGATTTTCCTAATATTAGTACCAGAAAAGCAAATAAATTCTTCCAAAGTGTTAGGAGAAAATAATAATCATAATAATAAGTTAGAATCATAAAATATATAAGTTCAAGAAGTCAACATGCAAACTATTAGCAACTTCTCTCAACATCATCTATAAAGGGTTTACAAGAATCTTTAAGGATATAATAGATGATATAATTTGAATAATCTCATCATTTAAATAATTTTTGATGGTTATAATTAGAAAGGGTTCTCGTCAATTAGAATTAAAAATTTGAAACTTGTCTCCCCACTATGTCTTGTAAGTATCACCATATATATATAATTAGTAAATTAAAATAAAAGAATAAATAGTATAATAGATATTCTATAATTTATTCATAATAAAGTCAAATTGGCAAATAAAATAAATCTTTAATGCCAAAATTTGATTTGGGCCAGGAAGTACCTAAAAGAATTAGGAAAGTAATTTAGGGCTTATCATCCTGTAATGCTTAGGTTTAGTTTGATATTAAAAATTTATAAAAACTCACTTTAATATATGCATGTTATGTTGTCCAATCAAGTAATAGTAATAGTATGAGGGTATCGTTCTCATAAGGAAATGTTTTACTTAAAAATACTAATATATCTACTTCAACTATAATATTTCCTACTCATAAAATAAAATTTGAGAGATTTAATCGCTTAATTTAAAATAAAAAATATTTAAATAAAACACAATTGAGATTTAAATTATTTTGGATTAATGGATATCCAATACATATGTTCTCTGATTCTCTTTTTTATTGATATATTCAAAGCTTATGTATCACTAGCTCCAATTAAGCATGAAAAGATAGGTAATTATACTCTTCCCAACCTCAATACTCTAAACCTCTATAATTGGTCACCTGCTATGAAAAATTTAAGAGAGTAAAGTTAAGCATACAAATTCAAGACTCCCTTCATGATAATTTAATATAAATTGATACTGTAAGGCACTTTGGTTATACTTTTCATCATGTGGTTTGTTCTATTTTTCTTTACTAGGCTCCATATTACACTGATATTAAGTTAACATACACTATGTGCCACTTCAAGCCTAGCCTCGAAATATGAGATTTTTAGGTAGACCGCTTAATTAATCTTAAATATATTTAAAAATTAATTTAAATTAATATTATTATAAAGATATATTTAAAACTCATTTTTAAATTTATCATATACTAATAGATTATTAAAATAAAAAATTTCAAAAAAAATGAAATTTAATTTAGAAAACAAAGCAAAGAAATAAGCTCAAAATTATATAGATTTGTCCAAGCTGAGCTCAGGGTAAAAACCAAATAAGCCCACTTTAACTGATTAGGACACAATACTCCACTCTACTCGACTTGTTTTACATCCCTAATATCCACATCTTATCTCCCAAAAATTCTGTAAGCATAAAAATATAATCGCAATTCAAGATAAATTATTGAATGAATATATTTACAAGTAATTATAATAAGGTATGAGCTCAGTAATAGATATACATTCAGATAGTAGAATGATATAGTCATGCAAATTTACATAAAAAACTCGACTTAGAAAATAAAATATTAATTTTATAATTACTATTAACATCATAATATTTAACTACATATCGATAATAAAAAATCTGATTGAGCCTTTCTTATATAAATATTACATATAATTGTTATATTAGCAATTTTGAATACCATTAGGCAACGCATGGAGCGTATTTCCTCATCGTTAGGAGTCGTGAAACAGCAAAGCTGCAAGTACGGAAAGGGCAAATATTGAATTGGCATGTCATACCAAGAAATGTCCTTAATAATTAAGTGTAATAAATTATACAGCTCCCTCTCGATAATCGATTTATGTTGTACATCTCCTTGGCCAAAGTAGCATAAAAATACCCTGTGTGATGAAAAATTTCCAATACTCTTCCAATTTTTCATTGTAAAAAGAATGCAAGACATTATATAACAACCTTCCCATCATTAAAGACTTTTTGTTTGGTTAAGACGACTTTCTTATTTGCTAATCTTAATAAATTATTTATAAGTAGATAAACATATATAAATTTTGTACTAAAAACTGCTTGTAATGTTAAAGACATTAAGAAAAGTCCCAAACAAAGCCTTAGGCTTTTATTTAGGAATAGCTTCTTAATGTTTTAAATGAAATCACTTTCTAGTTATATTTATCACATTATTTTTGAAGTTTCAATTATAGGTTGTTAAAATACAAATAGTTATTAATTTCAAATTTTAATTAGTTTTCAATATTAATAATGATAGTTTATTTTGATTATAGTAATTACTACTTTAATCAATTATATCTGCTAATTAAAGATAGTAATAAATAAAAATTTCTTTAAATGATATATTATATATAAACTGA